TGTTGTGTAATTAAATAGTTAATGTACATTTCAAAACAACTAAAGGAATTTTGTGTGTTCTTACCACATGGAAAGGATAAATATTCTGATTTTATCATTCTACAATGTATCCATATATTAAACACATTGTATATACGACTTATYAATTAAAAATAAAACTAAAAAAAATTAAAAAGGGAATGATGCTGTGATTAAATTTGTCAGAAATTTTATTTATCTTACCTATTTATAATTATTTTCCATTTGGTTTGAAAACATGTATTTCATTTTTGTGGTGAGGCAAGGGTTCCTTAATTACTTGAGTTCTTAAAGTGAGAATAGCAATGTAGACTGTAGTAACCTTAGATGCAAAATTGTCTCAGCATCTGTCTTCAGTATTAAAGCTTGTTTATCACAAAAATTCGTGTTTTTGTTGTTGTTGTTGTTGTTGTTGTTTTGGTTTTTTTTTTTTGCTTAGAGGCAAATGTTTTGCCATGTGGGTATTTAAGGTCTGTAACTATTTATATGTACATATGAAAGTTGATACTGTGTCAATAAACAATTAAAATTGAATCACCATTCTTCTTTGTGCATTTATTTTATTTTATTTTTTCAACGTGTGAGCTACTGAGTGTTCATTGTCAATCCAAAATATTTAAACGGCCTGACTTGCAGCAGCCGGCTTCACCTGGAGGCACACCGCCTCTCTGCAGCTTTGTGGTAGGAATAGAGACTAAGGTGCATTTGGTCTCTTCTCTGCCGTCAAGGGACTTGCGCTTTCATTGAGGGGAAATAGTAAAATAAATGGACATTAATGCCAGGTGTAGATGGAGGGATGCTGAGTGGAGATTAAAACCACCTAAGATCACGGTCTGATTGGGGGTCTAAGGACTGCACCGTGCACACTGCCTCGGTCGGACCCGGACCCCTCTGTCTGGCGAGTGGAGCCGCCGTGCAGTTTCGGTCCTGGTGACCACGCTTCTCCGGTGCCCAGCGCGAGCRCAGCAAGGATTGCTTCATCAGGAGCTGGTCATGCAGAAGTAGGTGCAGCTCGGCGGCCTTCCTGTTCCGAGTGTGAGAACTGGAAGACACCGCTGGTTTGTAGCTCAGATCTAGGAGCCGCATCTCTACTCCACCCCTGCTTGCCCTCCGAAGTCGTCGGCAGACGTCGTGGAATGTAAATTGCTTCCCTTCGATGAAGTGGGGAGGGTTGTGTAGTTCGGGAGGGGGAGGGGAGGGAGCGTTCGGCTTCAGAAAGGGTGGGGCAATCTGCCTGATTGCATTTGAGGGATATTGCGAGAGTAGTAGCCTCTCCGCATAAACAGAACTGTTTTGCTAAAATACAGGAGTTAACACATGAAGACTTAGGCATGGATTTCACAGACTTATTTTTTATTTTTGCGATAGAGGGGGGATTGAACCCTGGGGCKCTGTACACTGAGCCCCAGCCCCAGCCCTTTTATTTTGAGACAGGGTTTGGCTAAATTGCTGAGGCTGTCCTCAAACTTGCAATCCTCCTGCTTCAGYCTCCCGGCGGGCATGGTTGGGATTATAGGCTTGTGTGCCAGCTAGCATTCATATTTTAATAACAACCTCTTCTGTATACTTGAAAAGTTATGTGTGTATCTACTCAGAATTAGTTGTTCTTAAGTTGAAAGATCCTTCTGCAGTGATTTGGGGTCTAGCCTTCCTCCTAATGACTGCAACCTCTTCTCCCCCAATCCTTGGGCAGGCACAGCAAAAATGGTGAGAATCTTGTTCTACTTCTAAACCCTTTGTCAGAGGGGRCAAAGCATCAGGAAGATAAAAGACACCTTAAAAACAGTGAAGACTGGGAGCCATGTCATGCAAAAAGCATTATCATACTTTGGAATCCTGAAGCTGGACTTTTAATACAAAGCCATTGGTGAGCTATGTGACATTGGCAATGAGTAACTCTGAATCAGAGTTTCTCTGAAATCAAGAGACCCAGATCATCCTTCAGGTCCTTTGTAGTTGGAGTCAGAAAGTGGTACATGGCAAAGGAGTCTGAATCCCCACTCCCCCATGAGCCCCTGTTCCTGTTCTCAGTTGAAGGAAGAGTGCAAAAAGAAGGAGAGTGGGGTATGAAAATGAAAAAAAAAAATCATTTCTGGGTTCTTCTCCCAATGTGCAGACTCTTTTCTTTTTCTTTAGTGCTGGGGCATCAAACTCAGGGCTCAGCAAGTGCTCTACCACTGACCTACTACCACAACCTAAAGACATTGATTCTAAATTTGCTTTGAGTGGAGACTGCTTGGATTCGTAGGTGTTTTCTTGCAAGTGAGAATTTCTCGGTAAACTTGGCAGTGGGCAGTGGTGATACCAGGAGAGCTACTTATAGGTGGCTGAAAATAGATGGGGGTCACCTGACAGGACACACCCTACTGTGTAATCAGTTGAATATTCTCTAGTAATATCTCACAGTTAAAGAGCCAAGCCTTTGTCAATACAACTCAGGCACTAACTTTAGGTTCCCTTCTAAAGGCTTTCAGAAATCACTTTGACAAATTCAAAGTGAAGTTCTTTTATGGTCTTTTCCCCAAATATGCTATTCTTCAAAACCCCAGAGAAAAGAGGAAGTTGACAAGAACACTATAGATCCTTTACTAACCAATTTATTATTGGCATGTTCTAGTCCACCCAACCCATGGATACAGTGTATTCTATGCTCTCTGTGATTGAAAACTACACAGTGCAAGGAACCTGGGCTTGGGATTGGATTGAGCAATAGAGAGTAGAAGAGTATACAATGTGCAAATAGCCCCTTCATAACTCTTGTGGTTTTGGAAGAAGCTTCTATTCTTTTCATCATACTCTCTCACTATGATCTCCAATAAAGCTTATGAATTTTGCCCATTTCCAACCCCATATCTTCACTCAGCTGTTTTCAAAACCACAAGGTTTGTCTTTTCACAATTGTCATTGCTTCTGGCTTTGGAATCAGACTGTCATGTTGCCACGTACTCTCTGTGTGACTCTGGATAAATACTTGATCTCTGTTTTCTTTTTTAATATTTATTTTTTTAGTTATAGGTGGACATGATATCTTTATTTCATTTTTATGTGGTGCTGA